GTCTGTCTGTCCTGTTAAGGACATTACAGGTCCCGGCGGGGGCTTGGCAGGGGCTCTGAAAGCGGTTGTCTCGGCTGAGGTTTCTTCTGCGTGCCCTGGTGAGCTGCATGACGGACTGGGATGTCAGTGATGCTCTGTGTGTATCATTTCCAAAGAGTTTTCTGATCTACCAGGATGAAAGGTTCTGGAGAAATGCTAAATAGTATTATTAGTGTAAAATAAACATACTTATTCAATATTTCTGATGGTAAAGTGGATCCAGATGCTTTCTTATGGCTGCTGGGTCTGGTTTGGTTTTTCTGCCGCTCAGCGCGGCCGTCTGTATTTGTTCAAATGAGATGGGCTGTGATAGAGACCTTGTCACAGTGTGCTCTTGTCAAGTCTGTAAACCTTTATATTTATACGCACACACACATATATATATATAAATGAAAAAAATACTAGCTTACTCTAAGACTCCATTTCCGAGTCTGACACTTCACATGCATGCCAAGGAACTTGGAATAAACTCAGCGAGATTATCAGTTTTTATGATCGCAGCAATCAGTTCAGCTGTGTAGGGGAGAAATAGGATTTGGCTGTGTAACTCAAAATAGGCTCTGAAAGAAGTGGATGTGTCCGTCTCTTCATAACTCTGATACAACAAGAATATTAAATGCTCCCTGATACCAGCCACCGGTTGTACTTTTCAACCTGTGGTTGAGCTTTGCAAGAGGTAACTTTCCAGCACTGTTTCAAGTGTAAAATAATTTCCCCCTGGTTTTAAGGTTTATTAACATTTCATGGTTTCTCTCCTACAGAGGAGAACAAGTCTGCCCCACTGCTTAAGGGTGATGTTTTATATGGGCTGGGGTTTTGCCAGAGCTGGTGCCAGGGTGAGATCAAAGCAGCAGGAGCAGCCGGGTGGTCCTGACTTCTGAGCATGCCAGTGGGAAGCATTGTCAAGCCGATGTTTCCATGATGTTTTAGATCCTGCTTGGGGAGATGATGCTGCAGCATCTGAGGGGGACTCCCAGCTGTGCCGAGGGGACGTGACACTGCCTTGCAAAGACTGGCAAATACAGAAAGCAGGGATGGGTGTTTTGATGGTAAAATGTTTTCTTTTGGTAATTAGTATTCATAGATGTATGATCAGCTGTTAAAATCTCTTGAATTCTTAAAATCAGTGATAATAGAATTTGCTACGTGTCCTCATTTGCTGGCACTAGGAGTAGCTGCCCAAGGTTTCTTAGCTGCTGTGTGAGATCCAGGGCTTTCACCGAATCCTCCTCCATCCCCTGCCAACCAAAACAAGGAATAGGAATATTCCTATTAGGAATAGGAAATCCTAAGAGTCTCAATTTTCAATAAATTGGGATCAATCAAAACTGCATTAGGAATATTTTTGCTCCGTGCACCTTCTCTATCCAAGCTGAAGGCCATGTTCAAACTAAGAAACAACTTGGAAGTTGCAGCTGATCCCCCACATCTGTGCTGAGCACCACGTGCGCTCATCAGCTCTGATCCTGCCCTGACTGAGACTCAGTTGGTATATTGATTGCTAAAAGTTCTGTGAGTGCTCTGCAGGGACCAAATCTAAGAAAAGGCATATCTGTGTTGTGCACATTAAACCCCCTGAGAAGTGGGATTTTGGGTCCTGTCTAGCTTTTGCAGTTTTCTGCAGTCTAGAGGTTGTATAATTACATTTTATTGAATCCATCCTGTTATTCCCTTCTGGTATGGGATGCTCCCGGATTGAGAGAAAGTAATTAAAAATCTGAAGGTTCTCACTCACTTACTACAGCATTTCCTGTCTTTTGTCTAGCACTGCTGTGCTTCCGAGGGTTGGTTTGGCTTCTTGTTTGAACGGGAATAAATGGTAAAGGAAGAGGAATTCAGCTAAGTGGGCAGCATGTAGTTAGCAGAACTCGAAGGTGTCTCAGGCTCTGTGGTTAACAGCCCTGTCTTGGGAGGGCAGTGCAGGAAAGGACCACAGATTCTTGGGGTATTTGTTTGCAATCTTGTTGTACGAGTTTGGTATTACACCAGTGCGGGTTTTCCAGCACAGGGTGCCTGGTCTTTGGTTTGAAACAAACTCTGAGATAATGAGGTTGCTCAGCGCATCACTGGTACTAGCTGGACTTACCCTGTCCGGAAATACCGGCCATCACCTGGTGTGCATGATCACTTGCTGCCACACGAAGGTAATCGCTCACTGACCCGGAGAAGACGTTTCTGGTTTTGCTTGGAAACTTATTGTGAACTTTGAACTGCCAAGAGGTACTAAAGAAGACGTAAACCCATGAGTTATTGCAGGCTGCACGCCTGGAAGATGTAGGCCTTCTCGACATATGGAGTAAATCAGCACAGCTCCGCTGACTTCGGTGCAGCTGCATCTATTACTGCTGGCTGTAACCCTGCTCCAGACTGCAGGGGTGGTTGTCTGCGGACAGTGGATAGAAAAAACCAACCCTTCTTCCTTCCCTTTCCATAGCTTTACACTTTATGAACAGAATAAATGGGCTACAAATGGAGGTGAAATAGTACATTATTTTTTGCCTCTGTAGAATTACTTTATTTGTACTTATGCTAAGTTCGCTCTCATTCCCCTTTAGTTCCTAAATCAAGTAGTTGATTAATGCAAGCACTTTGCTACTGGCACTCCAGAATACACCAGTGCTTAGTTCGGAGGTGGAGATGGGTGTTTTTAAACAAACCCACGTACGTGCATTTGTGCAGGCACAAAAACAACTCAGGCAGAACTGACTCTCTGTAAAAACGGGGTGGGCAGCACCTATGTGAGCCACAGGACTATGGGGAGAGGAGCTCCTTTTCTGTTTCCGTGTGCCAGGAGAAGCAATGCTATCAGGCTTATGTATGATGGATCAGGGTGCAGTGGTATTGCTGCAAGCAAAAGTCATGAATTTTAATCAACTTTACTGGCTGTCTTGAAATTTGAGTTGAAAGATGAATGTGAAAAACAGGCAGCCCATATTGTTTCTGGAACAAAACTGCCCCTTTTCCTGTTGATTAAAAGAATTTTTCTTTTAACTTGATAATCGAAGATACTTCCATCTTAGTTCTGGAATTGTTTTTTAAGCTAACCCTTCAGGTCCTGCCAGCCCTGGATGCCTCCCTGAGCCGAGTGTCACCTCGTGGCCACCCAGACAGCTGACCTTGGCTGCAGAGACTTTCCAACCAGCGGGGCTCGTTGGCTGTCTGCTTTCAGCCGTTTTGGAAAATATGGTTTTAGAGTTTTATTTAAATATTCTTAATGTTTGAAAAAAAAAAAACAACACCAAAAATAACAAAACAGCAACAAACACCACAAAAAAACCCACCTGACTGGTGAAAACTGCTGAGTGGTGGACTGTCCAGAAGTTGGAGTCCAGTTTATATTCACTGGGAAAATGTGCCACAGCCAGCACACTCATCCTTCCCCTCTATTGCTCCAGGGCTGCTTTTAAGGTTATGTAGTTGCCGTATTCGTTTGGGCATTGGTCTTCCTAATTAAATGTAAGTGATTTGAATGCTGACATTGTCAGGGGGAGACATCAGAGCTTTGTGAAGGAGTGGACTGAAACTACCAGCTCCTGTCCCTGGACAGAAACAACCCAACATGTTGTTTCCAGCCACTGCCAGGCTGGTCCCGGTTACTCTGAGTAACGGAGAGCGTTTTCCTCGCTCCTCTGTACAGCAGTTTCCTTCAGGGGTTATCATAGCAGCTTTTCCTGTTTTGCCACGAAGTCACCTCTGTGCAGAAATAACTTTGAAGGGTTGTATTTAAGGCCAAACAACTTTTAAGAAAGGGAAGGGGAAAATAAGGCTGCAAGCACTGAGGTGAAAGAAGAGGATGGAAGACGCCTGAGTCGCTCCCCCTCTCTCAGCCACAAGTGCACTGTTATTTTCTCTCAGCATCTCCTGTGGTTCAACTCCACACCTAGTTTCTCATCTCCTCTGATAGCTGTAGGTTCACCAACTGCCTTGTATTAGTGAATTAGTTCATTGCAGCTGCAGCAGAGGCTTATTTGATGCTCTGAAATTCTTGCCGCCTTCACTAGTGAGAAAGGCAGTATATTTTTGGGGCCTAAATGAGTGTGAAAGGCGTACATACAAATCTGCTAAGTACAAATTCCAGCTTGTTTGTACTCTGAGTTGGTTACACCCTTGGCTCAGAACCCAAATATTTCAAGAATTTGGGTTGAGGTATACGCTGTCCCAAAAGAGGCATGAAGTTAGATTCCCCTTTTGCATCAATGGGTGCAGTTTCTGTAAGGTCACCGAGTACTTGCCTGAAGCAGAAATGTCAGTGCCTTCAAGGCATGTCCAGAGGCTTTGGGAGGGGAGGCGATGCTTTGCTATGGTACGGAAACCGGGTGGCTGCTCCTTGCGCATCTGAGATGGCTTGGCTCTTGCTTTGATTGGAATACGCTTGCTATAAAGGAAACCCCCTTTATTTCCATGTCCCTTTATGGAAGCCAGGATGCCTTGCAGTGCCATGCTTTGCTGTTCTGAGGCCATTGGCATTACGCCTGTTTACCCCAATGGCTGAATTTTTTTTTTTTCCCCCCTGAAGCCTTCAAAGCATGTAAGTACACTGAAGCAGAAGATTAGTTTCACTAAGGAGGCTCATTTCAGATGCAAATACTTTATGGGCTGCTGCACAAATGAAGTCTGCCTTTTTTTTTTAAATTATTTTATTTTATTTATTTATTTTAATACCCCAGTGGAAACACTGTCTGCTTTGCTTTGCTTGCTCCACCTTTCCATATTGCTGTGCTGTGGGTCCTGAGGTTGGAGTGGTGGGAACCCCTTTGGTGACATTTATCAACTGCCATATTACACTTTGGTGGGATCAGCCTGGATGGCTGGTAGGACTGTTATTATTCCCACTATTATTTCCCTGTAATACTGGAGGAAAAGAGCATTTGCCAGTGCCTCGAGGTGTCCTAATGTATCCACACACCGGGTAATCAGCTGCCTGAGAAGGTGGGTGAGCATCACGGGGGTTCTGGGCTGGGATGCGGGCACCACGGGGCCAGCAGTCAGTAATCCCTGCGCATCCCTTTCCTTGCAGTTACCTGGCCGAGCAGTGCTGGAATGGCGGCTTCTTTTGACCTGCGCCGCATCAAGCGCAAAGCCCCTCTTCCTCCTTCCAACGGCAACAACAGCAACAGCTGCGACCCCAAAGCCAAGCCCAGCCCGGAACCTGGTGACAGAGCCGCTCAAAATGGGAAAAGGACCAGGAAGTTTGGGGTCATCACCAGAACACCGGGCAGCAAGGACAGCAAAGAGAAGCTGGGCTCAGAGCACAGGAACGGGCACTGCACCCCGATGGAGGTGGAGGTTGCGCAGCCAGAGACCTCCGAAGCAGAAAGCAATGGGGAAGAACAGCTTCGGGGCCCCGGGAGTCAGCACCGGTGCCGGCTGTCAGATGGTGGTGTGCCAGACATTGGTGACCAGTCTGCCCAGGTACGTTTGCCTTGGGTTTTTCTAGAGTAGGAAGCAGCAAGCGTGCAAGCAAATGAAGGGAATTTGTCCAGTGGTCTCCCTGGTTTCAGTGCTCCATCCTTGGATTGAGCTTCTAGGTGACAACCCAAGCTGTTGGGGCACCGAGACGTGGAATGGGGTCCAAAACAGGGGGGCAGGAGGATTAGAGAGTTAAATAATAGTTGGGAGAAATCCATGTCATGGTCCATCTCTGATGGAGGGGAAGCTCTTTAAATCTCTGACCTGTCAGGGTTGGCCTCAGGATTTCTTCTGTTGAGACAACTGATGACCTTACGACACTGACACTAGTGGAAGGTGGTCGTTTTGTCCTTTGGGGCTTCACGTTTAGCTCTGTCTGAGCTTGACAGCACCTTAAAGCTCATGTTAATATTGGAATTCGAGCTTCCCGTTTCGATGCACCAGACCACAGTGCATTTATTTCTGTTACAAAACTTGTTTGGCCAGTGTTCGGGGACCACATGGAAGTTATTGTGAGTTTTGCTCCGAGTTGATGAGATGGACGATTTGTTAATGTTTGGGACAACAGTGGGATTGGGGCTTTCATTGCTTCTCTCTTCATCCTAATGGAAATCTTGGGGTTTGTTGCCTGGCTAGAACTGCAGCGTTGCTGGATGGAGAAAAATAACCTGAGCCTTGATCAGGTTTCAGTATGCATCTATCACCAGAAGAGCTGTCTGCCAATCTTTCCAGAGACACTGATAGTATAAACAGATGAATGCTGCTTTGTTGGGATTGGGGCTTGCTGCAGCAGCTGCTTTTGGTTTTAAGACTTCAAAGCTGGTAACAGAGCAGTATGAGTGGACATCTCATCACTGAATTCTGTTGAGGAAAGCATGAGTTTAAACGTGTCCTCTGAATTAGAGCTCCACCATACCACTGCAGGGTGATGGTAATGTTGCTTGTGAACTTAAACTAATTTCACTTAAAAGTACAGTGGACGAGCTAAATCCAGTTTTAAAAAATCTTTAAAATTGGTCTTGAGGAAGCATAGTTGAGGAAACCTGCTCTTCCCATGTTGGATTTCATGGTGTATCAGGAAGGGGAGGATGTTTGTGTGTAATTTTTGCAAGTCTCCTAATTGTGATCTTTATGAAAGAAAACATTAAAAGTTTTAAAATGAATAGTGAAATCATTCAGTATTTTGAAAGCTCTGGTCCGTATAAAAACTTCTTGAATCTGTTCTGAAGATGTCTAATTAAACACGTTATAAATGAAGATGATCAGAGTTTGCTTTGAGGAAGTGGAATATATATATATAAAAGAAAAAATAAAACCCTCTCTTGATCCAGAGCCATCTCATGCTCGTGTTACCTTGATGTTTTGAGTCATTTTGGTGTGAGAAAGTAAATTGTTAAATTCAGAACATATATGTATCAATGGGAGCAATAAATACATCTTTAATGCAAAGCACATACAAGGTGGCTTTGTAAAATGTTAAAGCGTAGTTGAGTCACTGGAAATTTAGGAGCTGTAATCTGTTCAGTTCTGGTGTATCTGTCATGGAGCCTGTTGAGAGGAACAGTTGTTTAGTAAAATTGCTTTTCTCTCTCTCTTTTAATTCTTCCCCCCTGCTTAATACTTTGCTTAGAGATATGACCTCTGGTGTGTCAGTATTAATTACATTTTCCTGACATCTGAGTGAGGAGAAATGTGAATAGCAGGAGCCTGAATAGCATGCCTTGCTCATCCTTTGCTTTTTAAAGATGACGGGGCAATATAAAAGCCTGTCGCTTTAGCACCAATGGGGTAGTTGCTATCAGAGTAATGAGTGGCTTAGTTCAGTTTCTTAATAAGTATTAAATACTAATAGGGAATACAATTTCCAAAATTATTTGAGCCCTGTTGAAAAAATGAAATAAACTGCAAGGTATAAAGACACTTGGGAGGCTCAAATCTCACTTCGAGCTCTGTTTTCAAAGCGTGACCTGGCACTCAGGCATGTGAGATCCAGTCGTGTCAGGAGCCTTTTGAAAACAGCATCGAGGATGTCGTGTCAGAAGTTGCAGCCTCCTTACAGGCTTCAAAGCGTGAGCCAAACCTCTCGTAGCCGCGGGATGAGTTATCTCCTCCTGAGCAGGGACAGGGTGCATTGGCAGGGCACCCTCTCCACGGGGAAAGCAGCTCCATCCCCGCTGCCTGCCCCACGCTCGCCATCTCTTCGGCGTGTTGACTAATTGGATATCCAGGACTGTCAGCCCTGCACCTTCGGGGAGCACTATATTTGCTTTGAGAGGATGAGAGTCAGCCAGCGATGGGCGGGAGGCAGGCTGGAGGTGGGAGAAGGCTTCGAGAAGCGGCTCTTCCACTGTGTGGCTGCAGAGGGACCACCCTGATTCTCCCCACTGTTCCTTCCCCCTCCCCTGCACCAGGATGCAGATTGGAGATTTACTGAAACAGGAATATGGAGTCCGGGAACATCTCTCTTTCTCCCTGTAGAAAGTTAGTTTGAAGTTGTAATGAAAACAGGGCAGAAGAGGTTGGGTCGAATCTGCGTGTCTTCAGCCGCCGCTGTACTGAACCCAGTGGCCAGCTCACAGCCAGTGTCTCAGGGATGTTGTGCCGGGCGTACTTTTGAGGCATCCACATGTCTGGGGTGTTACGTGCTTTCAGGGTAACTCTTCTCCCATGAGTGTGGGATTGTTCTCCCGTTTTCTTGCTGCGTGCTGCTAACAACAGCAGTGCTGAGTGGTGAAACGAGAGGCGAGATGAATACTGTTTGTCAAGTGAACCTGCCAGGAGATTCCTGTGTTACTGGTTTGTATGCATGTGTCAGTCCCTGACAGGTTTTCTTTCATCTCCCAGATCTTGGTCTGTCTCTCTGTGCACTTGGCATTGCTGTCGCTATGTATAAACAAATCTGCCTGGCTGTTTTGCTGGTACGTAACCCTCCGTAAATATTGTACCTGTCAATTAGCAGGCAGCATTTAATGTTTACAGGTGGTTAAGTTATGCTGCAATATTTTTAGGATGAACCTAAATGCCCTTTAGAATGTGGGGATTCAAAGCACCAAGGCTGTATCTGCCTGGCAGGAAGATCTGGACGGTGTGGAAACCAGACCTCTGACCTTGGAGAGGACCCAGGCTGGCTGCTGTGGGAGTCGTGGGCTGTGATTTAAGACCCAGCAATCTCTGAGCTGGAGTAATGATCCGTCACATCCTGGGAAGATTGGGAAGCTTAAATGAAGAAATCAAAGTTTACTTCTACTCAGTGGCCTGAGACAGGGCGGTGTTTTGTAGGCTGGAAATTATAAAGGCAAGGATGAAAGAGGAGTACAGAGAGAAGCTGCTGAAGTCAGCTGAAAAATGGTAACAAAAAGGAAACTGGAGGTTTCCTCACAGTATACCAATTTTGTGTTTTCACTGTGTTCACTGGTAGGACAGAATCCCTTGGGTTTGTTCTCAGTTTCTCTATTATGGTGTTTTTGGAAGAGCTGTGGAACGCTTCCAGCTGTTCAGCCCCTAATGAGTGCCCAGACATGGACAGGTACAGCTGGCAGGGGCAGGGATCCGAGATAGGACTGCGTGGGTGGCGAGGACCAGTTAGGAGTGTGAGGACTGGGAGTGTACTTTTTGAAGGGGCCTTGAACTGCTCCAGGCCTGGCTGGCATGATGAGAGACTTTCATCAATGAAGCCAGAAGCAGCTTGGCTTGGAGATGAAGTCTGCCGGAGCGGACCGGCCCCCTCTGCTTCCTCCAGCCCCAGCAGCATGCTCTGAACCATCCTGAAAACACCAACTATGAAAACAGAAAACAGGACACCTCCTGAACCCCCTTGAATCCTCATGCATCTGTTTAGGCGTCCGGATTAGTAAGGGTTTGAAGTCCAGATCCAGATTTAGCAGGCACTGGTGGAAGCTGCGTAAAGGCAGTCGGGCAGAGTGAAAGTGCTGCAATAGTGGAGGAGGGGGGTGAGAGGGGCTGGGGCTCTGTGTTTGGGCGGTTTGCCACTGGGCGAGATACAAGGCGGGGGGGGAGTACCAGGTGTGCACCAGGTCTCCCAGGCTGGTGGTAGCCCTGGGGTTATGGTGAGACACCTGTCTGGGATGGAAAAAAGTCAGTGTCTGGTGTTTCAGTGAAGTCGGCTTGCCATCTATTAAAAAAGGGAGAGGGGAAGGTAAGGGGATATTAATGCCTTGCCTCATGGAGGATTTTGAGGGATGTCCGGGTTATCGTAGCGTTTGAAGATCCATGTTGGCTCCATGTTAACCCCGAGTGGGTCGCAACTTTTTTCTGTGCCCAACTTAGTAAACCACAGCCCTCTACAGAATGGTGAGCGTGTACACAGGCACACGTGGATGCGTGTGTATGTAGACGACCAGTTGCATCTTTGCCAGCCGGCACTTGGCTTCTGTGTCGCTGCAGCGGCACCCCACTTGGTTTTGTTTTATCAGCAACTCTCTTCTTTGTTCGGGCCCGTTACTGCTTTCTTAAGATGGCTTGTCTCAGGAAAGGCTGAAGGCTTTTGAATTGCATTTTGCTTTGTAGTTGAGAAAGGCTGACAGCCTTTCTATAGCAGTATTTACCAATTAGCACCGGTAAATGCCAGCCTTACCTTGCGTTTTGGTTAATAGAAAATGTTCTTTATCTTGCCAAGCAGAAGAGGAAGGCTAATGGCACGTTAAAAGAATCAAAACATGAGACTTAAAATGTACTGGCTTTAAGCATTTTACTATTTTTTTTAATGAGATGGTGGAAAAAAATTATCATCCACTTGCTGTACCAAAATGAAAACCTTGCTGTGAGCAAGGTACTTACAAGGGTAAATACTCACAGCTTCACTGAAGCTACTGCAGCTATGTTGCTTTACATCAAATTTTTTTGGCAAGCTAAGCAATAATTAGTTTTCATCAGGGCTTTTATGGTCTCTTGTATGATGCATGTTTTTGACATAAATAACTATTTTTGGTTTTTAGTGGAGACACCTTTAGTCATGTAAAGGCCTTTCTCAGAATCTGTTTCTG